TATTTATTTTTGAGAGAAGGAGAGAGACAGAGCATGAGTGGGGGAGGGACAGAGAAAGAGGGAGACACAGAATCAGAAGCAGGCTCCAGGCTCTGAGCGCTCAGCTCAGAGCCCGACGCAGGGCTTGAACTCACAGACTGTGAGATCATGACCTGAGCTGAAGTCGGATGCTTAACCGACGGAGCCACCCAGGCGCCCCTAAGTGGGCATTTTAATCAATGTGGCACAATGGTTATAATCCCATCTGTAGCTTTATATTTCATGATAATATAATTTATATGTAACACAGTATTAAAATGGCCAGAGTTTTCCACAACTGCTGTAATCTTGGATCAAGTTTGTTAGCACCAGCAACTGTGGTCCCATTTCTCAGCCTAGACACTTCATTCATTATTCGGGAAGTCAGCTTTCCATTACTATATGTAATAGTAAGGAATGGCTTACAGGTGAATCAATGGAAACTGAAAATGGAAAGCCAATGTTTTGCTTCTCAGTTTTATTCTTCTTCTTATAACCTGATCTGCTCACAAGTGGTTAATCTAATGAATCTGTTGTTCAATATCTCATTTTCCCCAAACGTTTCTCTGTGAGAGAGTTCTGGCAAATAACAAAATGACAAGCAGTGAGTATTTCACGACCCTGTCCTTGGTCTCATGCTCTTTCTTATCTCTGCTTATCTCTTATCTGTATCTCTCCCCAGAACTATGTTTCCCTAAATTAAAAATGTTTCTACAACTGGTGAATTGAAGATGCCCTTAATACTTCTCGCCTGTCAATAAAGCACCTCTGAGGCATACCAAATGAGTACCTTACCCACCCCAAAACATCTTTCAAGACAGCAAGAGCTGGGCTGATTCGCTCTACTAACCCTGTTCCCGTGCATATTTGGAACACAGCAGAGGCCATTTAGTTCACCAACTGAGTAATGCATAATGATCTTTTGTCAATATCAATAACATTATGTAGCAATTCTAATTCATTAAAATAACTTTGCTTGGAATGTTTGCTTGCTTAATGGCTGGGATGGTATGTGGACAGAAATTAGAAAGAAACAGATAATGCCTATACTATTAACAACAATTGTTGGACTAGCTGAAACCTATTTCTTTTGGCAACTATTTCTATTTGATGCAGTTCATTTAATCTTAAACATTCACCGAATGCCTACCATTTTCTGGGTACTCAGGGGAGAAAGATGAATTAAGTAGAGGATCCACCCCCTTTGAGGCATCCACACTCTAGTTACGAAGAAAGCCATGTGAAAAACCAATGTTTAAAGTACAATCTATTAAGTGCAAAAACAGTTTGGGACTGTAGAAGCAGAACAGTGGCAGAGATCAGCTGCCTGGCAGGGTCAGACCATTTCATCAATGAGAAATCATTTAAAAATTATCACCTGAAATATGTTAATCTTAAAAACTAGGGTGCACCTAGGTGGCTCAGTGGGTTAAGCATCTGACTTCGGCTCAGGTCATGATCTCATGGTTCGTGGGTTCGAGCCCTGTGTTGGACTCTGTGCTGACAGTTCAGAGCCTGAAGCCTGTGCTTCTGTGTCTCCCTCTCTCTCTGCCCCTCCCCCACTCATGCTCTGTCTCTCTCAAAAAATGAATAAATGTTGAAAAAAATTAAAAATTAATAGACTCTCTAAGTAAATGTATGATTCCTTAGTGGCATTATTTCCCACTTATAAAACTGCTAAAAGCTTTAATCACTCTCTGTTAGATATTATTTCATTCACATTTAATACTTAAAGGACCTAATCAAGTAAGGATCTATTTCCACACCCCTTTCCTGCCCAAGGCAAATCTTTTTTTAAAAAAATCTGTATTCATGTTTTCTACCACCCTGCAATGATAGAGTAAGATATAATCCAATCTGGACCTCTTCTCCTTCATTGACACATTTTAAGGACCCATACTCTAGGGAGTCAGGTAGTAAATAATACTGCAAGTTAGGCACATAGCTAACATGCATTGTTAAATAACTGTATTATCAAGGAACTCAACTGCTTCACTCTATGCTAATAAAACACCTTGTAATCAAAAGCATTTGGACGGGGCTGATTGCTACTATTAAATCTCTAAAGCATAAGTAAGAGTATGCATGACTTAAAATTTGACTCTCGTATTAAGTCCTCACAATCTTTGAGATATCAAATAGTGGAGAAATATTCTTCTCTGCACAGTTTTGTATACACTACAAATGTGTAAATGAGTAAAATGAGTACCAAGAGATGTAGGCATCTTGACAAAATATCTAATCACAGCAAAATAATCCACATTTTACTTGGCTGTGCCACAAACCATCTGTATGGCCTTGGATGGGACACTCAAATTCACTGAATCTCCTATGTGACAAATGAATGGACTATTCTCTGTATTTTGAGGGGAGAAAAATAAACTAAATTAATGGAACTGAACTAGATGCTCTCTAGAGTTTCTCTAGGCTCAAACATTATGAAAGCTTCTAAAAAGTGTCTTTTAGAAATTTTCTGTAGCCTTTCATCCCAGGTTTTGAAATGAAATCCCACTGTCAAATCATTTCCAGACATCTGGAACACCTAATCCATCCCCAGTGTAAGATACCAAGGCAGTTAACAATTAAGCTGTTATTAGTGAATCATGTGTTCTAAACAGCCACTTGCTGGGCCCTATTATTTTAGTGTCACAACCATGACCTGAAAATAATACAGGCATTTGAGAAACTCATTAACTTGTAGAACCCCGAGGTGCAGTTTATCATATCAGAGAAATCTACTAGAGAAATCCCAGTAGGAACACATGTGTTCCTAAGCATATAAAACCTCACCAGAGTAAGAAATATCTGAAAGTGTAAGACACATCATTCTTCAAAATATTCCCTGGTGAAAAACTTTGTAAGTGGCATACTGAACTGAAAACGGCCCTTCACACTTATGAACTAAGTAAGACACTTTCAATGGGAATAATACATTTACCTAGATCTACATAACACATGCACATACCATAACTGGCACAGCCAAAGTGTCCATTGCAAATAAAAAGCACATCCTTAAAAGAATCATTACAAAACACCCAAAGAGAAAAAAAGAACAGGGAAGCCCACAAAATAGGTCAAACCAGCATCACCCTAGAAATTATGCAAATCAGAAAACATTTGGAGTAATAATCGTATATAAGGCTCCAAACCCACTCAAAAGATGCTTTAAAATAAAATAGTGAAACTAACGGGCAGAGGGACCCATGGGGGAAAAGATAAGCTTGGGTTATAGGAAAAAAAGAAACATTCTCACATGCTATGTATGTATCTTAATGAAGGGTAGTGGATATAAAACAAAACATAAAATATTATTCTGTGCTTATGTAGCTCAAGTTGCTGCAATTCAAGACAGATGTACAGGGACTGAAGATTCATCAGAACATTCCTTTTCATCATGCATTTCTTTTTCAGTCCGAAGGGAGACAGCACCAAAACAGAAACCAAATGGAGCAGGCAGAAAGACAGTGCTCTGGTTGAGAAAAAAAAAAAATGAACACCGGGAGGGAACAGGGCTCATCTGTGTAATATTATGAATGACTCAGAGTAAAAACAGACTTGCTTATCAAGTCTTGTAGAAGCTACTTTTAAATCTGATTTTAGCTACCTTTAGGAAGAGGAGTTAATATATAACACAGTGACTCTGGCAGAGAATACTTAAGGATTCGAAATGGGCTTGGATAAATTTGTGAATGGCTGAGAAAAGCTGAGGTTAATTCCTATCCTTTATATTGGATGCAGAGAGAACAATTGTGCCCTCACAGCCTCCATTGGCGACATCTGATTGAAATGCTAGGGTGGTATGGGCCACAAATCTGGCAAGTTCTATTTTTTTCATGTTACACGAAATATATCAAGGTGTTATTTATTAAATATACTTGTAATAAATGGATTAGAAAAGCCTACAGGCTGGCTGTATATTCCAATCACATTCTTTCTCCATGAGAAAATGCTGCCCAGTGATTGTCCTTATCTGATGCATATATAAAAATGTCTGGATTTGCTCTTCATCGAGTCCTTAACAAATTTTTGTTGATACGTAGTGATGAGAGCTAGAAATGAGTAATTTAGCAGAGTTGTTGTGAGTGGCTCTTTTCAGATTTTCAAGAGTAGAAATAGTTTCAGTAGAGAACAAAATCCTAGAACAACTCGTTGCTTCCTGGTAAATGACATCAGATGCTGAGATTAAATACAGAGAACCAATCTGGGGTTAGGAAACCCTACAACAACAGATATGTGAGCATGGCTCCTGCAAGTTTGAGATACCTAAGAAAACACACTGTGATGGAGAAGAGAACACAAGGGATTTACTGACAGCTCAACCAGGAAAAAAGAATTTAGGTCTGACTTAGATATGAGACAGGCTTTGTTCAAGTTCAATCAGTTCCATCTCTGAAATGAAATTGCAACGGGACAGGATTTCTTTAAAAGAGTTATAGTTGCTTACTAAAAATTAGTTGGCTCCCTAGTTTGATGGAAGTTACTACCTCGTTTTCATTGTTGGACTTTCTTGTGGTTGTGATTGCTGAAAGAAGAACCTCTATTTACATGGTCTCCTATTTATTTGAGTTCACTGAACCTAATCTAGATGTGGAGACCTGTAATCGTGCTTCTGGCAAAGAACAGAGGGAACTCTGTTTAATTAAAAGCAAAAAAACCTCACATTCACTAAAGCTAACTAATAACTACATTCTCCTCACACACTATCGTTATTACTTAATCAAAAATAGATTTCCCAGCCACTCTATTGACCATATAGAATGGCCCCTCAGCAGTGTAGAAATGCTCCATCAAAGCAGGAACGTGTTCCAGGGGAATGGCATCCACAAAAGAAGGGACCCTGGTAGGGATCTATTGTCTTAACTACTTTTTACAGCAGCATCGGTTAGCCAACAATAACCAATCCTATCTCTTCCGAAACTCAAAACCGATTAAATTGACCTCTGTATTTAGAAACGATTACCAAGGAGTTCAGCAAACCTTACTTCTGGTAGTGGGCTGGCCGGTTTGGTTAGGATTCCTCCTACATACACAACATTAGGCAGAGTGGGTCTCGGGAACTCCAGTGCTACATCTGTACACAGCATCCACAGACTGGACCCATGGACCAAGTCATACATGGACTTCTCCGGCAGCAGGTTGTACTTCTGCATTATCCTTTCATACTTGGGAAGAACCAGAAAGCTGACCCCTAATCTGGAAATGAGGTAAACGCCGGTATTTTTCATCCTTTGCAGCAAGTTCATGTGGTCTGTGAGGAGTGAGTTAAACTCCGGGACGTAAGCTAATGGGGCAGGAGCACCCACTTCAGCAGGATACCAGAGGCCAGTTGAAAATACAGCATATTTAACCCCTAAAAGATGCGCTATCACAAATCCACACATGTCATTAGGGTCCACCAGCAGCAGGTCAAACTTTTCCTTTTTTAGACCCTGAATCAGGGCATGGTTGCCAACCACCATATCACAGTTCTTAGTATAGTGATCCAGTATGTCAAACAGTTCGATTGCTGTCAATCTCCCAGAGAAAATATTCCGCATTTTGGACTGCAGGAAAGCATCCGAGGTGGTACTGTTAAAAATCCCTGGGTAGCGCTGGAGGCTGTAATGATTAGATGGCGCGATGTCTCTGCCTTCAGAGAGAAGAAACACTGTACGGTGGCCTCTCTCGTGCAAGGCTGAGGCTAGTGTCTTGAAAATGTACATATGGCTTTCAAACATAATTGGCGGCACGATGATGATTTTGGCAGCCTTCGCTATCCCAACCGCACTCCACAGGAGCACGAAATACGGAGTGTAAGACTTCATCGCTGAAATGACAACCAGAAAAAGACTTAAAACAAAGTATAGTCCTTACCATTCAAAACAAACAATCACAAAGACTTCTTTCAAAGTATTTGATGATCCAATATTTTGTCTAAGGATCACTGTTGAAAAGTATCCTGATATTTGTTCTAATTACCTCTCTATTTTTAAAAGATAATTTTTTAAAGTACAGAACTGACAGCAAAGCTGACAGAAACTGAAATACATTTAAAATATATCTGTTGCAGAGCACATAACTCCATCAGTAAGAGAGAACTAGATACTTTCTGAGAACTAGATTTCAGAAATCTGAAATAAAACTTCTATAAGATTGAATGAAAGATCTCTCTTCTTCGAATAATCACAATGAGATATCTATGAAACATTGTTTATCTTCCTTTAAATTTTTTTTGATGTTTATTTATTTTTTGAGAGAGAGACAGAGCAGGAGTGGGGGACGGGGAGAGAGAGAGAGATGGAGACACAGAATCCAATGCAGGCTCCAGGCTCTGTTTGAGCTGTCAGCACAGAGCCCAACCAGGGCTCGAACCCACAAATGGCGAGATCATGACCTGCGCTGAAGCTGGCGCTTAACCAACTGAACTACCCAGGTGCCCCAACACTGTTTATCTTTTAATTGAACATTAATGTTAATCCCAGGAAAAAGGGCCAAAATTTTTGATTTCTGGGTGCATCAGCATGTATGTGTCTCTTTAAATCATTTTATCACAGCAGTTACGTTCCCAATTATGACCAAAGCATACCAAAGAAAGATTGTTTTAAAAAATAATCCTTTCAAGTAACAGTTCTATATAAAGGACATTTTTCTACAGGAAAGATTACCTTTTATGTGAATTTCCCCTCTATCTAAATACACTTATGTATCCTGGCAGTCTCTCTGTAATTTATAGCAATTTGCTAATTCATTTCCGGACATTAAAAGAAAAAACTTTTAATAGAAAAGTTCAAGGGAGTTAACCAGATCTATGTAAATGTTTATAGAAATGATTGATTAACAAGTGTGTGCCAGACCACACTTCCTGTGTTGTACTTGTAAGTGAGGTGCAAATGGCAAGTTAGATCATGGTTGTACAGGTGATACCTATCACTTCTACCTTTTCATGTTAGTGGATTATGTACAATAGTTAGAGTTGTCCTCAATCAGTTTTTAGAAATAAGTGTTCTACCTGTGGGGTCTATATAGTGTGCAAACTCCTCCTACCCGACCCAATATAATTTTTACTTAGACTCTAAATTAGCCTCCAAACTGAAAACAAACAAACACACAAACAAACAAAACCCATCTAAATAATAATTACCCATGCAAACTGGATATTTTTACTTCAAGGAACAACTTAGAATAGATTTATATGCATATCACCAAATCAATAACCATTTTCATTCATTATCATATATTAACTACCCTACTTGTACAAATTCCCACCATCTAAATGAAGTTTTAGCAACTATACCTTCTCAACATTCAAACACGCTGCAAAAAACAAAAAAGAAATCAATAGCGGGCAAATGATAGATTCTTCTCATATCAAGATTTAAACTATAGGGGCTCCTGGGTGGCCTGGTTGGTTGAGTGTCCGATTTCAGCTCAGATCATGATCTCACAGTTCATGGGTTCGAGCCCCGCATCAGGCTCTGTGCTGACAGCTCAGAGCCTGGAGCCTGCTTCGGATTCTGTGTCTCCCTCTCTCTCTGCCCCTCCCCTGCTCACTCTCTCTCTCTTTCCCTCTCAAGAAAAAATAAAAACTAATTTTTTTAATTAAAAAAAGGACTAAACTACAAAATACGTTATAATTCCAGGTGCCTCTTCTCTCCCTCCAAGGAAATTTTCAAACTATTTCTAGATGAGTTGATACTGTACCATTAAGAGTAAACTGAAGTAATGCCCATTATAAGCATAGAAGAGCCTGTGTTAACTATTGCTTGAATTAATGAGGGCTTTAAAAAAACAAATTTAGAGAAAACACTATTTCTATAACAATGAAGTAAGTTTATTCTATAATTACAAGGTCAATGAAGAAAAAGAATTAAATAGCCAGTTCTGGAGGAAACTTTCCAGGCCTTCATTCCTCTGTACCATCTCTCTAATGTATCTCTCTGGTGCAGGCTCCCAATTCCAAGGAATTAAAAATTAAGGATTTTCAGTGGACACGTTCTCAATTCGAGGGATGAGATTTATGCAAAAGCAGTTATTTCAGCAGCTAGTGTCCACTGCTGTGATTAATACCACCTGTCATGGTTTGCATGTTCAAGAAGACATACCCACGGATGGACTAATGGTAGGAACGGCTTTGTCTACTGTGTTTTGCATCTAGCTGAGCAGTGAACACACAGTTCATTCAGCTACAGTTAAAACCACTGCTTTATCTATCATAGACACATAAGACACAAAACAAAACACAAAAAATAATAGTAGGGAAACAAATCCTCTCCCTGAGCTTTTTACTCGTCTTACTTTTTTATTTTAATATTTTATTTCAGAAATTACTACAAAGTAAAATGACATAATTTTCTGTGATTTTTTTTTAATGTTAATTCAGTTTTGAGACAGAGAGAGAGAGAGGGAAAGATAGCAAGCGAGGAAGGGGCAGAAAGAGAGGGAGACACAGAATCGGAAGCAGGCTCCAGGTTCTGAGCTGTTAGTACAGAGCCCGACACCAGGCTCGAACTCAGGAATCAGGAGACCATGACCTCAGCTCAAGTCGGATGCCCAATCGACTGAGGAAAATGGTTGCTTTTTTAACGCACAAGTGCTTATGTTCAAGAACAGCATTGTTCAAAAGAGTTTTCTGTGAAGATGAAAATGTTCTCTATCACGACTATCCAATATTGAGCAGCTGAAGTGTAGTTAGTGTGATCGAGGAACTGAATTTTAAATTTTAACATGTGGCTTAATTAATTTAGTACCAGTGGCTACAGTACTAATATAAGGTTAGAAAAAGTGCATACATTCTGTACATATAGATTTTAAAAGTAGTTATGTAAACATACCAATATTTGTGGGAAAAAATATCTTCTAAAAACAATGTCTACTGATGCTTTGTGAAAAAAAAAGTAATGACCAACAAAGAAGCATCATTTCTACAGATATAAAATTGTTCAAATATAAAATTAATTATGAAGTACTACAACAGCATTTTACTCTGATAAACATCGTTGTGGCGGGAAACAGAATGAGCAACACGACTACCAACAAATGGTGAGGCTATTGCTAGTCCAGACTTATCAGGATGTGTCTACTGATAAGCTGGAGTTCACTAATAGTAAAAACTTCTGCTCTGAGAAAGATAATGCCAAGAGAATAAGAAGATAAGCCACAGACTGGGAGGAAATAATTGCAAAAGACACAGCTGATAAAGGACTGTTCTCCAAAATACACAAAGAACTCTTAAAATTCAACAAGAAGAAAGCAACCAACCTGATTTCAAAAAGGGCCAAACACCTTAATAGACAACTCACAAAGAAAATCTACAGATGGCAAATGAGCACATGAGAAGACACTCCACATCATATATCAAGCAAATGCAAATTAAAAGCACAATGAGATACTACTACACACCTGTCAGAATGGCCAAAATCCAGAACAGTGACAACGCTAAATGCTGAAGAGAATACAGGGCAACAGGAACCCTCATTTGTTGCTGGTGGGAATGTAAAATGGTACAGCCACTTTGGGAGACAGGCTGGTGGCCGCTTACAAAACTAAATATACATTTACCATATGATCCAGCATTTGTGCTACTTGGTATTCATCCAAAGGAGCTAAAAGCTTATGTGCACACAAAAGCCTGCACATGGATGTGTATGGCAGCCTGATTCATAATTGCCAAAACTTGGAAGGAACCAAGATATCTTCCAGTAGGTAAATGGATAAATAAAGTAGAATGGAATGTTACTCAATGCTAAAAAGAATATGGACTACAAGCCATTAAAAGGAAAGAAACTTAAATGCATATTACTAAGTGAAATGTATATTACTTATAATATGCATATAATAGTGTAAATAACAAAGGATTTTAATTTAACATTTTTTTTTAATTTTTTTTTAACATTTATTTATTTTTGAGACAGAGAGAGACAGAGCATGAACGGGGGAGGGGCAGAGAGAGAGGGAGACACAGAATCGGAAGCAGGCTCCAGGCTCTGAGCCATCAGCCCAGAGCCCGATGCAGGGCTCGAACTCAAGGACCGCGAGATCATGACCTGAGCCGAAGTCGGACGCTCAACCGACTGAGCCACCCAGGCGCCCCTAATTTAACATTTTCTACAATGGACATGTAGGTGTTACTCTTCTCTTAATAAAAATAATAATCATTGCTTTTAAATAATATGTGATAAAAAATCTCATTTATAATAATAAAGTACATAAAATGCCTTGAAATTAACTAAAAAGGATATTTGTTTGCTATCCTAAGTATGGCAAGCCTTTCTCCAAAGGCATACACATGGAAATAATACTAAATATTTAGAAATACTCTACTATTTTAATGAAAGGTGGTATTTGAGAAAAGTCAATCGTTCCCATATTATAAATTGATAAATCAGACTAGTGTTAATTTTTTTTAATACATCCAATAAAAGTGTTGCACTTTAAATGATCACTGGAAAGAGGTGGAAAATGAGCATAAAGCAAAGAAAGAAATCCTCATTACAGATATTATTAGATTCGAGTACAAAATCATTAAATATTTTGGGAATGTTTAAGACATCTGGCTGGGGCGCCTGGGTGGCTCAGTCGGTTGAGCGGCCGACTTCGGGTCAGGTCATGATCTCGCAGTCCATGAGTTCAAGCCCCGCATCAGGCTCCGGGCTGATGGCTCAGAGCCTGGAGCCTGCTTCGGATTCTGTGTCTCCCTCTCTCTCTGCCCCTCCCTCATTCATGCTCTATCTCTCCCTGTCTCAAAAATAAATAAATGTTAAAAAAAAAATTAAAAAAAAAAAAGACATCTGGAGCAGAGGTTTCCAGCCTGAGATGGGTAACTGAACA